TCCTGTTCTGACCTCCTGTTCTGACTGACTTCCTGTTCTGACTTCCTGTTCTGACCTTCTCTTCTGACTTCCCGTTGGTTCCTGTGCATCTAGGGTCTATTTTCTTTGGTTGATGAATCCACATAGTGATCAGGCTCTGATAGGATTCACTGGTGCTAGCTCTCCAGACTCACACTTCAAAACAAAACATGTTTTATTTGTGAATTATAGATTCAATGATTCACTTGTCAGTTTGTGTTGATACGAAGCGCCAAACGTCAGGTGACAATCCACCTGCAGAGGGAGGGGGGTGGGGTCTGAGGGAAGCACAGGGGTGTTAATGACACACCTGACCTTCAACAACCTACAGCAAAGGTACAAATACACAATAAACTGATACACGAATAAAACAAGAGCAGTGACGGGCAGGTGATGGGGCAGGTGATGGGGCAGGTGATGGGGCAGGTGATGGGGCAGGTGTCGGAGCGGGAGTCAGGGCAGCTAGTGGCTGGAGTGGGGCAGTTAGTAACACGTAGCACCTGCACCATATGACAAAAGCACTGATTGGAAACGTACCTGTCGATACAGGCGAGGGTCTGACATTGATGCTGAGCTGCGGCTGGACTGGAGTTTGGGGTGGGAATAGAGGCGGGTAATTGGCCGGTTGGTGAAGGTGGGAGGGTCCCAGAGGAGGCCGGGCTCATCAGAACGATGCCTGCAGAAGAGACAGAAGAGTCTCAGGTCAGAGACAAACAGATTCAAGAGCAGAACCAAACACATGGAACCTTTGAGACCCAGACTTCCTGTCAGCTGGTACCTGGTGAAGGGTTGGCGGTGGAGGTGTTGGGAGTCGGCTGCGTCTCGTTGTCTTGTAGGATGGAGTTGATGAAAGTGGTGGGGGAGAGGGGCGTGTCTCCATGTGTAGCCCCGCCTTCCAGAACAGGACACACCTCCACCTCAGGACTTGCTGGCTCCTCCTTTATGTTAATGAATTGGCTCTCTCTGGAGGCAGAGGACAGAATTAAGTGACTGCTGCACCACTGTTACTGACAAGAGGCTTCATTAGTTCTCACCCTGCGTCCGACCAGTCAGGGACTGCATCCTCAATGATGGGTGTGGCCACCTCTGTGATGTCAGAGATGATTGGCCCAGAGGATATTGGGGAGTCAGCTGAGAACAGATTGGCTGTAGCCTGAAGAGGAAGTGCACGAGAAAAGATCCTTCATGTGAACCGCTCATCACAAACTAACTGAGGTATGCAGGTGAGTCGGCGACATGTTACCTGCATGTGCTCCAATGAGAACTGCCGACTATACTTAGGCATGGAGTGGGCGGAGCTGGAGTCATTCAGCATCAGAGGACTGCAGAGAGAAACTTGTTAACGTTATAAATCAGGTTTTCTCAACAGTCACTGGACGTAGGTGGGTGAGTTGCTGGTGACCACAGGAATAGTGTTTTTGGAAAGGCAGTTGTTGAGACCCCTCCCCCCTCCCCATCATGTGTGTATGGATTAGACAGGTAAAAACATCTCAGCTAGTTCATAGCAAAGTGTGTAGTATTAGTAGTGAACTTGCATCTTCCTCTTGACTCCCAAGATCCTGTTGGTTTGGATGAGTGACACCAGAAACTGGATCAACTGAGGAGAGAGAGTTATCATTAGATCAGCCTCACTGTGGTGGAAGCATCCGAGCTGACGTGAGGAGAAATACCTTGTTGACGACTTTCTGTTGCTGAGTGTGTTTCTGTCTCAGACTGGCCACCTCCCTCCACAGAGCCTCATTTTCACTGCAACACAGAAACAAATATATCCTGTTTGTATGACACTTTACTAGGAACTGTGACATTCAGACCGTGATCCATTAAAGACCCAAAGTGAGTTGAGAAAACTATCGACCTTGGGCGCCACCTGCAGGCTTAAAGGAGAAGTTTGGTTTTTTTCAACCTGGTCCTTATTTCCAGCATATGGTGTGTAGATCTACTCACCCGTAAAGGTTTGGAGTAACTTTGGATCAGCCGCAAAACTCTTTATTTACTATGATTCTCCAGCACTAGTCCCCTGTGAGTCTCGCCAGCCTCGGAGCTAATGTTAGCTTAGCGAGTTGCTTTGTTTGCATCCCGGGCTTTCACTGGGGTGACGTCACTGAGGTGCGCAGCCGCATCACAGCTGACGATCAACTGTGTTTGTTTACACGGAGTTTGCTGATGCTAGTTTTGCGCAACATGGCAGAATACTTATCAGGTGCTTCACAGTACAGGATTCTTTTAAAGCAGCTGTGTCCTGGTGCTCGGGCCATTCACCCGGTTAAAGGCTAGCTAACTTCAACGGGCTAACGAGCAGCCTCGGAGCTAGCGTTAGCTTAGCGAACCCATTTGTTGATTAAACAGGAAGACAACTTGCTCTCGGTTCGCTAAGCTAACGCTAGCTCCAAGGCTGGCGAGACTCACAGGGGACTAGTTCTGGAGATTCATAGTAAATAAAGAGTTTCACGGCAGATAACGCGTTATTTAGAGGCTGTATTGTGGATGCCCCGAACCCTTGCGTTGTATGGAAATACGCTGATCGCGTGTGGATCTAAAAGCGTCCCAAGGACTCAAAGTTACTCCAAACCTTTATGGGTGAGTAGATCTAAACACCATATGCTGGAAATAAGGACCAGGTTGAAAAAAACCAAAGTTCTCCTTTAACACCAAGAAGTTCGGCTCCATGGATGAATTCTCTCGACACCATTCATTAGACCGGCAGCGTCTTCAAATGTCCCCTGCTGGTGAGTCTGTGTCAGTGCAGCCTCAGGTCTCAGACGTGAACCTGACGTGGTCTCTTGAACCGCTCATGTAAAGTTTGGACGTGTTATTCCCTGAGATGTAAAGAGTGGTTATCAGAGTGACCGCAGCCTTTCTGTCAGCTCCGATCAGTCTGACCTCTGACCTCATCAGAGCTGCTGCTCACTGGTCTGACTGTTTCCTGGTGGTAAACAACAGTCTCAATCCTGTCACAGTCAAAAGCTGTGTCCAGAATCACTCACTCATTCACTAACCCCTACTTTACTTTATGGGGTCTTCAATGAAGAGCACTCTATAGTGAGCAGGTGTTCCTAATAAAGTGCTCAGTGACTCCCGGACTGAAGAGGTTGTGGTTCTCGTCTTACTGTTTCATGGCAATGATCCTGGAGTCGATGGTTTCCTGTTTTCCCTTCATCAGCTGGACGTCGCTCAGGATTTTATTCACTTCATCTGTAGCGACCTTCACTTCCTCCTGACGCCCCGAGGACACCTGAACCAATCACAGCACAGAAAGACGGTTACCATGGAGAATGTGAAAGGTTTGAATCTGGACTTCGGTGAACAGGTGTGAACAGGTGTGAACACGTACGTTGGTGACTTTGCGTTTGATGTTCTCCAGCAGGTGTTCTTGTCCTCTGATGAAGAACGGATGTTGGAACTCTGTGTCATCTCTCTCTGGTTTTACCAAACCACTGTGCTCGATGTGCACCACTTTACGGAAGCCATCTGTACGGAAGCCAATTCGCAAAACCACTAATTTAACATCATCATACAAACAGGTGAAAGAGTTTCACTGTCAGAGCTGTCAATGGTTCATTACCTCCGCCGGCAAGCTAATGTTTGTTTCTCTGTTTGTCGGCAGGATTGTGAAAAAACTAGCAAACGTGGTGGAAGGAGGGAACAGGGCTCAGGGAAGAACTCATTAAATCTTAAGGAAGATCCAGTTTCTTATAAATTGTGAGAATGTTTTGTTGAACATTTTCACTGATTTCTCAGAGAATAATTCATGAATCTTGATGAAAACAATCAGACATGTTTAGAGGACGGATATCTATGAGGGTGTGTGTGGTTTGATGCAGCTTGATTGGATTTAAGAAACTGTTGGACTGGTGGAGGAATGAACTCAACTGAATGATGTTGTGGTTCAGAGCAGTGAAGATAAACGCTGCAGTAACGTGAGACTCTTTACACTCACACATGTTCAGCTGTCTGATGAAGCTAGCCATGTTGTTGTGTTTGAAGAACTTGGGAAGAACTTCTTTCGAGAACCGACCCTGATCAAAAACATGGAAGCTGGTTCCACTCTGAAACAGAACACAGAGAAACATTATAAATACAAGAAGACTCAGACGCTCCTGATGAACCAGGATCAGAGTGTTTCAGACTCGGCCGGTGAAACCTGCAGGTCCGTTGACAACTGATGTGATGACATGTAAAGGTCTGTTGATGTTTTATTATTAATGATATTAACATTAGAGATGTTTGATGAAGGAGACTGTTAAACTGTTGTCTGAACACCCAAAGGTTATGTGCCAGATGACTTATGTTTCGCTTGCTGTTTTCAAATACAGATGATAAGTTGTGACCCCCGAAGCAAAATACTTTTCCACAGACAGTAAATGTCCCAAAGCAGCAGTATGATCCAGGACCAGCAGACATACACAGACAGCACCCGACAGGACCGCTCCTTCTTCAGGGAACCATCACTCCATTCATAACACTGATATATTTTACTATCAACAGAGAGTCATTTTAAAAGTAATCTCGCAGGACATCAGAGATCGTCTGACAGTGAAGCAGCCTCTTGGGGTAACAGACTATATTTTGGGTCTTCAGGTGTAGACAGCAGACGTCTTTGTGATATGTTGTCCAAACACTGTTTACAGTGAGACTACTTTAATCACACTAGTGCAACGTTTCTCCGCACAAACACGGATGGTTTTCGTAGATGTTTTAGATCCTGTCTACGGCTATTTGCTAGCTATCAACAGAAACCAGAAGCTTCGTGCCCTAAGATCTGTCTCCTCACGACAGATTCTGTACAAACACACGAAGAATCTGTTCATAGAGAATATTTTAACAGAAGAACACAGAAAAATCAAATTGAAAACAGGAAGTAAAGGAAACTGTTTGTTACATTGTAATAGCGGTACAATACCGTAAACCACTGTTGTTATTATTATCAGTATTAATACTGTTGTTATCAATATTATTACTGTTGTTATTGGTATTATTACTGTTGTTATGAGTGTTATTACTGTTGTTATGAGTGTTATTA